TCCTGCGGGCTGGCTTTGAACCATGATCCTCAGATCTCAGCCTCCTGAGTAGCTAGGATTACAGGCGTGAGCCACCAGCGCCCGGCCCCCATATATATTTTTTATAAGAACATATTCTTCCTTTTCTAAAAATATTCTATTCCTCTTTCTCAAAAAAGAACTGTTTTTTTATTCCCATGGAATGAAATATAATCAGCCTATAAACATTCACTATAAACCCAATCATCTTATTCAATTGCAAGGTCAGACAAAAAGAATAATATAAAAACTTGTAATAAAAAATTAGAATTTATAATAAAGAATTCTAGATTTTATATCTTTCTAGATATTGCGTACTGTGTAAGTTAAGAGTAAACCATATAATTTCATTTAATTTTATAGCTTCATAGTTTTGTTGAGACAGTAAGAAAGTAAGTGGAAATATTTAACCCATCAAAACTAAAAGGTAGGCTTCCCAGATTTTATTCCTTCAATAGCTTAATTTCTAAGTAGCTTGAGCCATAATGAATACAAAGGAACAGTGCAGGACTCATTAAGAAAAAATAAAACAGCCGGGCACTGGTGGCTCACACCTGTAATCCCAGCTACTCAGGAGGCTGAGATCTGAGGATGGCAGTTCAAAGCCAGCCCGGGCAGGAAAGACTATGAGACTCCTATCTCCAATAAAACCACCAGAAATAAACCAGAAGTGGCTCTATAGCTCAAGTGGTAGAGCGCTCGCCTTGAGCTGAAGAGCTGAGGGACAGTGCTCAGGCCCAGAGTTCAAGCCCCATAACTGACAAAAAAAGAAAAAGAAAAAGAAAAAAGAAAACATACCTGGCTCGTTGGTCATAGCAGACCATGTCAAGTACATTGTATAGACTGTAATCACTGAAGACTGTAACAAACCAGATCTTGGTTGTGACTCCTACAAAGAAGTAAGAGATAAAGATAAATATTCTGACAATTCAAGATTATTAAAATTTATAGAGGTGAACTTTCTCTAACAGCTAGTGCTATGAAAAGCATACTTGGATTTTTGGCAGTATAGACATCACGGAAGCGCCAATGCAGAGGAGCATGTTGACACTGATGAATGCCTTATTTTCTGAACAACTAGCTGGATGAGTATAGTAGACAAAGAATAAGACGATGGCAACTAAAGATAGCAGATAATTCAGAGCCGTAGCAGACAGTAAGGCTGTGGGAGAAATACAAATGAACAATTAGATTTTATCATGAAGATTAGGAACTAGGCAGAGAATTAATTTTTAAATTCTTTTTAAAAAGCAACTAAATTAGCATTATGCAGGTTTCAAAATTGGGGAAAACAACTAAATTTTGTTACTGAAGATTTTCACTGTTTTCCACATAGCTCACTAGGATATTTTTAAGGACAATAAAGTAGGAACATAAAAATACAATTTTTAGTAGTATGTCTATCTATATTATAGATATAGATATCTATAGTGCTTACATACCTCATGTTATATTTCAAACATTAATGATAAAAATAATTAGGATTTATGCACCCTCCATCTTTCCTTTTCTTTCTCACCTCCCCGTCATCCTCCTGAACAGTCCAACAATTAGAATCACCTTTTCTCTGTGTATATATATATATTTATGCACAAGAGTACATATACCTGTGTACATTTCCATAAATATGTATGACCTAGTAAGGTATGACCTAGTAAGGTCTAGTTCAACAAATGAGCAAAAGAAGGAAGAGGAAAGGTGAATAACTTTGAAGTACTTTGTAACTATGTATGAAGAGGGTAGCATTAAGACTCCATGAAAGCTGTTCATCAGCAGTGTATTAAGAAAAGAGAAGCAGTAACTGAAGTGACTGAAATATAATATATATCAATGAAATATTGCAGTGAAATACACTGATACAACTAATCAAAGAATGAATGACAGGAAAATAATACAGGCTTCAGAGGATGGGAAATAACAGAGAGGAGGACTAATGAGGATGTGAGTAAGAATGAATAGGGCTGATGTAGTTTTTTGCATGCATGAAAATAGAATAAACCTGTTGAAATTGTTTTAAGAAGTGGAGAAGATGGGCTGGGAAGGTGGCTCAGTGGAAGAGTGCTTGCCTTGCATGCCTGAGGCCCTGGGTTCAATTCCTCAGCACCACATAAGCAGAAAAAGCCAGAAGTGGTGCTGTGGCTCAAGTGGTAGAGTGCTAGCCTTGAGCTGAA